TATTATGCGTTCAAACTTTTAAGGTATTTCGTCTGAAATAAGTAGATGTATATTGCATTTCGGTAGAACAATGATCCGCACTCATTTTGAAATTGCCACCAACTATACTGTAAAGCTTCTAGGACATTCACTATAGAACCGGGTCATTGTTGCCGCCAGGGAGTGAAGAGGAAAAAATTTATTTCGCTTTGCGAATAACCGTGCTATGAAATGCCGCACAACTGGAGAATTTCAAGAACTTCTTCACGGATATAAAACTTTCCTTAGGTTCTTTAAAGCGGCAAATGACCACCAAACCATCTTAGCAGACGAATGTGCCAATGAAAATCGTAAACGTGAATTGTTGGTGAAAATGTTGGACCAAAAAGTTTCAATAAAATATATAATAATTTTGGGCGGGACGAAGTTCGCCGGGTCTGCTAGTATGTACATAAATAAGATTCAATATCTAAATTTTTGCGACTTTTTATATTGATTTTAATTTAAAAACTTATATTACGTATACCACACTCGAATAATTATATTACATTAATATGTACATACATATATACATAGGTACAATATGTGTATTTTATTTGACTGAAATGTAACAGGCTAACCTAATATTCACGCACGCCGCCAATTTACTGTCAAAAATTTCTCATGCACATACAACTTGTATGGGACCAACCGAAATTGAACGGCGTGCGTATGAAGCTAACTCAATTTCCAATTTTTGTTCTGCGTGACATTTTGATTTGACGTTTCGCTCAATGAAATCAAATGCAAACGCACGCAAGCCAATTTCGGGTGACGCAAAAAAACAAATTCGACGGCGTGCGTACCAAAACGCAAGCCGCGAATATTAGGTTAGAATGTAAGCGATTTGTATGGAAGATTTAGCCAACATAATTATATTGGCTTATGAAAAGCTATCTTGGCTTGTATATTGAACTAGAGCCATTCGGTGACAAAAAGCTTCAGCCAATCAGGAGGAGGCAAAATCTCTCATTTGACATAACAACGTTCAAAAATTTATGTATATGTATTCACAAAAATATTAACATCCCAGCCAGCAAGAAAACGTAGATTTTACGAACATTATGTTTTACGAGGGATTCTCGTTTCGCCAAAAAGTTAGAGAAAAGCTCGTGAGCGATAAAACAAAAAAATATAATAGAAAGAGGCTTGTAGTAATTTGTCAGCACAAGAAAAAATTTTAGTTTTGTTGACAATTTTTCTTCAATCACAATATTTTATTAATAAGTAGTTTGTTAAATATTCAATTTATAAAATTATTAAGTATGTGATTTATTGGCAGACTGGTGCAAACGCAAAGGACGACCTACCACTTTCTTTTATAATTAAACTTCTTGTAAGTAGCTACTACATATGTAATTCAAAAATACAAATTAATTTAACGAGTTTCTTCGAGCAATTCTTTCACAGGCTGCGCGGAGCAACACTAAAGGATTTTAACGTTTAATTCCCCTATAGCGCTGTTGGTTTGGCAACGACTGCGGCAATAAGAAGTACGGATAATAATATTATTTATTAGCACTTTTTACTTAATTCAATTTTCAGATTTCTAATGGAGTTTAATCTTTCACTTTATTTTCTTAGGTGCTTTTCGTCAAAAATTTAACTCCGACGAAGAAGTTTTTATTTCTGTTTCAAAGAAGCACTTCCAATATGCACACGACCGGCAAAAAAATTGGCAGCCTATCGGCAAAAAGATAAAAAATAAATTCAGCTACCTTATAATATATATTAAACCCCTCTTATTTAATTGTTAATTTGTTAATAGATAGTTTGTTAATATTTATTTATCTG